GGGGGCGGGCCGGGCCGGGGGCGGGGCGGGCCGCGATTGAAAGCCGCGGGTCCAGCGGGCGGGCGGAGAGCGCAGAGCCGCGGAACCGGCGAGCCGGCGAGCGAGCGGGAGCTGGAACCCCGCGTCCCCGGCTCCTGTCCGCTTCTCTCCGCGCCAGAGCTGGGCGCGCCAGGTAGGGTAAGCCCGTAGTGCCGCGGCCGCCGTCAACCTTATCAGATTCTGACCCCCACATCCCGAAGTCCCATGGGCCCTCGAGTTCTGGGGCGCCCGGGCCAGGACGGGCCGGGGCGTCCAGACAGCGCTGGCCAGGAGCTCCGGGAAACGGGAAGACAGCCCCAGGCGTCACGCCTTTCACCCCAGGAAAGCACACCCTGCATCGCCCTCCTTCGTTCCTCCTGCCCCTCCGTCCTTTTGGTCCGTCTTTCCGTCTGTGCCTCTGTCTTTGTCTCAGCCTCTCTGGCTGGATCATTGCCTGCCTGGATTTTGTGAACCAGGTGCCTGGGCTGCCCACCTCCGAGGTTCTATCTCCCCTCCAGGTTCTGCCCTCATCAGAGCTTTGGTCCCAGCCACCCCTGTGGGAGGCTTGTGGTCTTGACTGGTTTGGGCCTCAGCCCCCATCTGGGTCCCTGTCCCCATCTGTGTTGGTCTTCATGCTTGCCTCTCTCTCCTGTTTGCCTGGTTGAGCTGCTTCTTTCGGTCTTACCCACAGGATCCCAGTTCCCTGCCCTGGCTCCAGCAGGAGTTTAACCTTGGAGAGCTGAGGGGGCAAAGTGAAGAGCCTCAACCTCTGTGACCAGGACTTGGGGTCCTTGAGTTAGTTGCTGCCCTTCTTCAGGCTCAGTCCCCCTCTCCGAGCTTCACAAGCCTGCATGACTGTGAGAGCCTGTGTGGTGTAGGTGTCCGGAGAGCAGCTGGGGCCCAAGTGCTGGGTTACGGAGTGGAAGACGAAGGGAAGGGTCTCGGAGCCAGGACCAGAGTGAACAGGGCCCTGAGACTGAGGATGAGGAGAATGGAGACGGTGACTTTTTCTGCCTGGTTCTGAGAGAAAATGAAGGCAGGCTAAACAGCATTCCACGTAGAGCTAAAGTCTGCAAACTCTCACCTTGAGCACTGTTTTGAGTTTCTGGCCAGATGACCTGCCCCCCACCCCGGACACACACGGATGCTCACATCTACTTTCCCTGTTGACTTAAGACCTGTGGCCACTTCGGTGTCCCTCCCTGAAGCCAGCCTCTCTACTTTGCTGTCCAACTCCCAGTGCTGAGCGTCTCTCTTACTTCCTCAGTCAGGGGGCTCTGGAGATGGTTTTTAAGAACCGGAGGCTGGGACCCTTGGGTGCTTACCTGGGCTCCAGTCTCCCTAGGAGTTGGAGACTAACTGCCCTTTAGAGACTGTTTTCTTCTCTCTTCCCTGGTGGGTTCTCAGCCAGTAATATCCCCTCCCAGGAAATCCGAGGCTCAGGATGGGCACTGGACCCCAAGTTTGCAACTCTGACTTGGTCTCTGCTGCAAAGGTGTTGACCTTGGGGTCCTGGGAGATTAGTGCAGGGTCTTGGACACTCTTCGACTCACAGCAGAATTGGTGTTGGCTGGGGTCTCCTGTTTACTCTCTGTCTCCCACCCTCTGCTGAGTTTGGGATGGGCGCAGGGTTCATCTCCAGACCCAGATCAGGGCAGGGCTGAGACATGGGCCAAGGGGTGTCCCAGCAGCTTCTCAGCCTAGTTAGTGACGCCACCTCTCCCTGGCTCCTGAGTCCCTGGGAAAGGGGTTTGGGGGAGGCAGAGTCAGAACAAGTAGCTGCTCTCAGGTTCCACTTCTCCCTATCTGTCTGTCTGTCTGTCTCTCTCTCTGCAGGAGCTGGGCCACTTCTCATCTCTCTTCCTGTCTGTCCTTTCCTGCTCCCTGTTATCTCCTCTCTTTGCCTTTGCTGCTTCTACCCTCATCCCCTGGAGGCTCAGGTCTGCTGGACCCATCCATCCCCTTTGGGGCCATGGGATCACTGCTTGGGCTCCTGGCACTGCTGCTGCTGTGGGGCGCTGTGGCTGAGGGCCCAGCCAAGAAGGTGCTGACCCTGGAGGGGGACCTTGTGCTGGGTGGGCTGTTCCCAGTGCACCAGAAAGGCAGCCTGGCAGAGGAGTGCGGTCCTGTCAATGAGCATCGCGGCATCCAGCGCCTGGAGGCCATGCTTTTTGCGCTGGACCGCATCAACCGCGACCCGCGCCTGCTGCCGGGTGTGCGCCTGGGTGCGCACATACTGGACAGCTGCTCCAAGGACACACATGCCCTGGAGCAGGCACTTGACTTCGTGCGTGCCTCGCTCAGCCGAGGCGCCGACGGCTCACGCCACATCTGCCCCGACGGCTCTTATGCCACCCACGGTGATGCTCCCACTGCCATCACTGGTGTCATTGGCGGCTCCTACAGCGACGTCTCCATCCAAGTACGTAGGGGCTGTTCAAGTGGGGGCTGGAGAGGGAGGCCAGAGGTGGGGGCCCAGATACCCACGGAGCAGGGGTTCTGGGCTGCCATGCACTGGAAGAGGGATTAGAAGCTTCCTTTGCGTAGTTTTTTTGTTTGTTTGTTTGNGCCTCTGGGGTGATCCAGGCATAGGAGAAGGAAGTCTCCGTTGCAGGAGGAGGGAGTGGGCTCAGGAGCGAGAAGCACCTGACTGACCCCTGCGGCCTCGGGGCAGTGCTGGCATGTGTGTGTGCCCCCTTCCCTATACACTGGGGGGTGGGTCCAGGCGCAGGGGAGTAGAAGGACTGTCTCAGAACCTGGGGCCCTATCAGCTGGCACTTCAGCCCTCTGGGGAGTCAGGGTAATGCCCAGTGTTAGGTCTACTTGTCCTGCCAGCTCCTCCAGCCTGGGGTCTGCCTCCCCCTCAGCTGCAACTCTGGACCCAGGTGGGAGAAGGGCTGGGAACCAACCATATCTTATAGTCTCTGAGGTTGGCATAGACCAGAATTTGCAGGGGAATGGGAGTAGAAGAGGGGTTTAGCTGGCCCAGAGCCCTTTCCCAGGACTTGTTGGTAACATGTCTGCAAGGGCAGAGCCTGTGCGTCAGGGCACTGACGTCCCTTGGTATCTGGGTCAGTCACTATCATCCAGGGTGGAGAGGAGGTCAGGGCCAGGCGTTCCCAGGATGGAAAGTGTGGCAGGTCAGACCTTGGCTTGGCTTGGGCACCTAGGGCCATAGTTTGTGGGGTCCCTGTCCTGGGGTGCTAAGCTTCCTGGCTCTGTGGGACCAGTGCTCTCTGGGATGGACTTTTGGTACCAGACACACACACAGGATTAGCAGCGCCATACTCTTGGGTTCTTTTAGCACCTGTCCTAGGGTATTGTCCCAAGGACTCCTGGGTCCTCAGACCACTGCTGGACCCTGGAGTGGGGGGCCTTGCCCTTAGGGGGCCCTGTGTGTGCCTCCCTCAGCAGAGATTTGGAACCTGAGGGAGATTGGGGCAGGAGGCAGAGCCAGTCCCCTGGGAAGGACTAAACAATGGCCAGTTCCTGGGGTCACTCAGGGACAGGTGAGTCAGAGGCGCCGTAGGACTCATTCTTCCTCTCACCCCTGTCCGACAAGGAGCGGAAGCTGTGTGCCCACCCACGGCTGGAGATCTACCAGCAAGACCAGATCTATTTCATGTGCCCGCTGGCACGGCAGGGAGACTTCTATGTGCCTGAGGTGAAGGAGACAGAGCGAAAAAGCCGGGGGCCTGCGGAGGCCAGTGATACCCAGCTGGATGGCACAGGTATGGAGGGCGGGGCGCGAGGTGGGCCTGCTCTGAGCCCTGGCTGGGCTGCACTGTGGGGGTGCAGGCTAAGCTTGGCCGAGGTGGAAGGAGGAGAACTGCCCGCCCCGGGACCCGCAGGCAGAGTTACCTATTCCCAGATACGTGGGTCCATGTAGGTGTGGATTCATACATGTTACCCTGATAACACAGATGCAGAGATTCTGTCCAGGTTCCCATCAGATGCAACAGGAGTACCCTTGGAAGTACAGATCACAGACAGCTAGATGCTCATGGGAGGGGGCTGAGGCTGCCCAGGAAAGGCGTCACTTGGGTGGGCTCTTAAGGAGAACAAGGTGTTCTCCTGTCCCCTAGTATGGGGCCCCATCCAGAGCCAGCCACTTTCTCCCTGCCAAAGAGAACCAGAGGGCGTGCAGACGGGGGTCAGGAGATCAGTGCCTAGCCCCTTGCACCAGAACCAGCCTTCATACCCCAGGTCCTGGCCGAAGGATGCTTGCCTGCTCTCAGGCCACCTCCCTGCCATGACCTTGAATGTCCGTGGGCTGTCCTCAAGGGTGCGGAGGCCTGCTGGTGACATTCCACGTAGTCCCGGGGGTCTGACCTTGGCAATGCAGGAGCCTTCTGTTAGCCTGGAGGTCCATGACCTGTGGGGTGGGGCAGGCTGCGAGGAGGGCGGCTGCCCCGCTTCACCTCCTGTAGGAGGCTCCCTCTGTCCATCCAATCTCTTAACAGCCAAGGTCATGTAGAGAGGCAGGGGTTGGGGGGCGGGGGACAGGCACTGCGAGGCAGTCTCCACTCCCTAGGGGCTGTGTCCAACACAGTTAGCTTCATCTGCCATTTAATTACCTCCGTGGGGCACTGCTCCCACCCGACTGATAGTGCCTGGCACACGCTCTTCAGTGCCCCTGCTGTGGGCACAGGATGTGGCACAAGATCAGGAAGGCCCCAGGACAGGAGGAGCGAGGCCTTGACTTTCCTCTGACCTCCCTCTGCTGCCTCTTCTCCCTCTTTGGCCCACCCACCCGGCCTCCCTCCAAAACACCACGGGGGGCGTGGGGGTAGAAGACTGCTTGGCACCCGCTACAGCTGACTACAGCCGAATCTCCCACGCCCCTAGCTCCCGCCTGTCCTCCCCACCCAGCCTGCCCGCCCACTCCCCGGTGTGGGGGCCGCGGGGGTCTGCCCACCTCTGACAGGGTCATCTCTGACACCCGGGGCGGACTCTGGGTGTCTGCCTGCCAGGTGCATGCCACTTGCATGGCAGTGCGTGGTGGGCGCCTGGCCACCCAAAACTTGGCCTGTGCCTGCCTGCCTCTCTGCTGAGACCCCCGCCCCCCGGGCTAGGAGGTGAAAGGGGATGATTAGCTGCCTTGTGCCTGTTATTACATTGATGTATTATTTAGCTCCAGAGAGGCAATGAATTTTTTATCTCTCTGCACTGGCTGTGGACAGTGGAGGAGGCGGGGTCTGGGGTGAAGGTGGCAGATTCGTTCCCTGCCCAGTGGCCCTGCGGATTTAGATGTCCTGGGACAGACCCAGCGCCCCGGGACTTCCTTCTCTGGGGCTTTGGTGGGGCTGGAGGGGTATTGCTACCCTGCCAAAAGTGTCCACATGTCCCCAGGGGCTGCTCTTATCCCAGCATGCTGGGCCCTAGCCTGAAGGTGCACCCCTGGGCTCCTTCCTCTGACCACTGCTAGCCCCGGAGCTGGGAGAGGAGGGCGATCTCCATACCCTGATCCCAAGCGGGCCGGTGGGACAGTTTAATGGGACCGGTGGGACAGTTTAATGGGACCGGCGAGAAACTATCTCTTTTGCTCCTTTCAGGCCTGCAGCCCCTGGGGCACTGATCATCATTTAAGGATCAAATAGGGGCTGGAGTCCTGGCCCAGGGTCAGAGGGAACCAACCCTGACTCGGGGTGTGGCCCAGGCTCACTCTTGAATGCCTGCACTCTGGGAGCCATGACGGGGCCCCAGCAAGAAGTGAGCCCTGGGCTAGCAGCCTGGCACTTCCAGGGCTCACTTGACCTCTGCCAGTAGGGCCCAGAGGACTAGGGGAGCAGACCCCACCTCCACCCTAGACCCCAGCTGAGCCCCTGTGAAAGTTCTAGGCCAAGTCCAAATGCCTGGCAGTTCCCAGCTGCGCCTGGCTTCAGGGCTCCATCACCATGGAGACAGGATCTGGGGAATGTGGCCCACCCCTCACCTTCTGTGATAATGACAGCTGCCCCCTCCCTCTCACACAGGAGGGGAGGCATCCTACACACAGTGGGCCTGAGCTCTCGCCCCCCCCCCCGCCCCCCCAACTGCTCTCGGTGCCTCTGATCTGGGAAGATGAATTCAGGGGTTGCTCCTAAACTGGGCAGATGAGGGCTGTTTGCCTGGAGGACATGTAGGGGTGGGAGGAGTAGGCTGGGGGGGATCTGGACCCTCAGCCCAGCTCAGCACTGTCTCAGGGCTCTCTGACTGCCAGCAGAGTGCTCCCATGGTCCCCTCATGCTGCTTTGTGGCTCTGGAACCACCAGTGGTTGGGAGTAGGTAAGGGCCTCTGGGGTGATCCAGGCATAGGAGAAGGAAGCCCTTAAAGTGCTTTGTCCCAGCACCCTCCTCCTCAGGACTTCTCCACTCACTCTGCCCTAGCCTCCACCTCAGATCAGGCTGAACGTGGGCCAGAGGCAGGGGCCAGCTGACTTCCTGGATATGGCTGCTCCTTGGGGAGCCCTGCATGGGGGGAGGCGGGCAGGAGAGGAGGCTTCCAGGCCCATTCTCTTGGCCTCACGGCTTATGGGCAGTGCTCTGGAGCTGGCCTTGGACAGACCTCTCTCCAAGCCTGACATGCAGGGTGGAGGAGGGGACACCACTTGGGTCTCTTTGTTCTACCCTCAGCTTCTCACCTCGGGGCTGAGTAGTCCTTAATGGACGGGGGCTTGGGGGGGGCAGCAGGCTTTGTGGGAACGCAGGGAGCGGAGGCTAATTCAGGGTAGGGAGAGGCTGCACAGCAAGCTGCCATCCTTCCCTCCCTCCTCTCTCTCCCTCTGCCCCATCCTTGCAGCCCCAGGCAGGGCAGAGGGCAAAGGGCAGAGGGCAGAGGGCTGCTGGAATGAGCCTCCTGAGCCAGGGGTGGCTTTATTATGCATGAAGCCATTGTGTATGCTGAGTGGCTGGGCTGCGCCCGCCCGCAGGGCCTCTGTCTTCTCCCTGGAGGAGGGGGCAGGGTTCCTAGCTAACCTGTGCTCCTTCCTGACCCAGGAACTGACACAATGAGTGAAACGAGTTCTGTGAGCCTGGAGGTGGGACCCGGCAGTCGGGAAACTTCAGCTGCCACGCTGTCCCCTGGGGTGAGCAGCAGCCGTGGCTGGGACGACGGTGACACCCGCAGTGAGCATAGCTACAGCGAGTCGGGCGCCAGCGGCTCATCCTTTGAGGAGCTAGACCTGGAGGGCGAAGGACCCCTGGGGGAGTCGAGGCTGAGTCCTGAGGCTGAGCCCGTGGGGGCTCCCAAATGGCCCCGGGAGCTCAGCACCCCTGAGAAGGGTGAGGAATAATGTGCGGGGGGGCCCCCCTTCTGTGGTGCAGTCACTGAGGAACTGAGTAGACTCTTCAGCCCTCGTCCTCCTCCACCTTCGGGCCGGGTGGGGCCGGAGGCCTCAGGGGACCGACTCCTGCCTCCGGGCCTCTAGCTAAGCCTTCTCTGCACTGCCGTCCTGGCTCCCAGGACCCAAGGAGCCACGGGCCATTTTCTGCACCCAGCCCCGGGGCTGCTGCCTCTGTTACATCTTTTCTCAGATTCACATAGGAGCTTCCAAGACTCAATAAAGCAAATGATTTTCTCGTTTCACCTGGATTTGGGCTGTGCATTTTTTGTTCCACCTTGAGGAGCCCTGTGCCGATGGGCACCCACAGCCCCAGGAAGGAAGGAGCGGGACCAGGTGCCCTGGGGTGGAGGGAGGAAGGGGTCTTGGAGGCCCCAGTTGACGCACTGCGCCTCCAGAGGCGCCCCGGGCTGCTGGAGAGCAGGGCAAGGGGTGCCAGAGCTGTGCGTGGGGGGCCCTCCAGGGCTCAGGAGTGGGGAGCCCACAGCCTGCCTTTGCCTGCCTCGAAGGGGAGCCTCTGTGTCTGTGGCGCTAGTGTGCCTGTACTCATGCTGGTGTCTGCCCAGCAGGTGAGGACATCCCTGCTCTGCCCTCCAGTGTCTGTACCTGCGTGCGCACACACACACAAACATATGCCTTTGGTTCCATGTGAAACCATGGATGGGTCTGCTGGCAGTGGTCCTGGGTGAGGCTGTGATAGCTGCATTTGTGTGGGTGGCCATGTGCACGTGTCTACCTGTATGTGGTTGTGTTCAGGGGTGTGAGGCTGGCTAGCTGGGATATATATCACTGTGGGGGCTTTGTCCATACACTGCTATCTGTGTACCTGTGTGTCCACAAGTACAGCTCTGTATGTGTGGACATGTCTACATGTATGCCATATGTTGGTGACTGTGGATCCCATGTGTACAGCTGTGTGTGTGTCTGCATTTAAAGCTGTGTTTTGGCGGTGTCCCTGTGTGCAGCGCTGTGTAAGGCTGGTGGCCGCGTAGCTGGGTGTGGAACTGCCTGTCTGCGTGCTGTGGTGGGACTGTGCAGCCCACTTGCTGCGGGCCATGTCACGGGCCTCTAGGGCTGGAACTGTTTAACGTGCTGTGACTTTTGCGGGGCTGCCTTGCTGAGTGGGCTGGGATTACTGTGTGTCTCCCCTTACCGCTGCACCCTACTGCTGTCAGCCCCTCTGCTCCAGGGGCCTGGCCCATCACGCACCTACCCCAGGGAGCAGTCACTGAGCCCGCCAGAAAGTGAGAGCAGCGAGAGCTGGAAGCCAGCCTGTCTGCCTCTCCAGCCTGTCTGACAGCTCCGAACCCTCATCCCGCTGCCCCATTAGCGATAGAGTTTGTTTGTTTGGGTTTGATGTGTTTGTCTCTCACAGCTGTGCTCTTTTCAGAGCAGTGGGGCATCGGGTTTCTGTGTCCAGGGAAAAAGCCCTGTCCTTCCTTGCTGACACCACCCCCGCCAACTGCCAAGTGCACATGTAGGTATGTTTGCTGCAGGGCCTTGGCATGTGCTCATTAGCATGTGTCTGAGCTAGCCTGGCCTCTCCTGACACCTGTGGAAGAAAGGGCAGCGCCAGGGGACATATGTAAGGATGCTGTGATCCTTAGCGCTTGCTAGTGTGTGTGCTCATTGGGAGTGGATAGCTCAGGCCCCTTCCCCAAATGCTTCAGCAGTCTGGTGCTGCAGCTTATCCACCGCCCCTACCCAGGGGTGTCCTTCCCCATTCTGTTGCTGGAGGGAGCAGGAGCAGTCCAGAGTATCTTCTCCGAGCCGTCCTCCTCTGCTCCAGCTCCAGCTCCCGCTGCCTCCTACGCAGCAGCCAGTTTCAAGAGCCTCTTCCCCAGCCCACTGGCAGCCCCAGCATGTCCCTCAGGCTTGAACCCTCGCCCGCCCCAGGTTGCTCTTTGACATAAATAATACCCTTTGCAC